AGAGAATCTATTTATGTTACCCAGTTGTCAAATTCCATGTACTAGGTATGTAATTCAAGAAAATATTTACTGAAAAATTTAGCTTTTGTCGCACAAACCTGTTTTTATATTTTCCCCAAAAACTTAGCTAAGAATAGGACATAGCTTCAGATTTGGAAAACCAAATCCTTCCTCATTAATCTGGAATTGTGTTTCTGTAAAGTTATTCTCAGAATTGAAGAACCCCATAAAATGTTCTAAACAAGTAATACATTTTCTGAATATATTAAAATATTAAATCAACAATTATTAAAAAACAACAAAATGAAAATAAGACTCATTAATAATAGTATTAAGAGGAGAAAATCTGACAATCTTAATATGCAAATGCCTGTGTGAATAGCACATTTTAAGTTGTTTTCTTTAAAAAGAGAGAACTTTGGGGGTCAAAGTTTTTTAAAAAGAGAATTACATAACAGGAGCACTGTGAGTTGTATGAACCAGAGAAATGTATGAGAAACTAAGAGCCTTTCTGATTTTAGTGAACAAGTTGAGTGGTATTGGAGAAAGAGATCTTTTAAGGAATTTGGTCCAAAGCCAACAGCATTAATACTTAATAATATTTTACATTTGATGATAGCTGATAAAAGATTTTTCTTGCCATGCAAATACACATAATTCGGGCAGATATAAGCATACACACACATACACACTCTACACCCAGATCTGCTGAAGAACTGTCACTGCATTAAGAACTCCTGGAACACTATTGTTGCAATGTATAATAAAATTGTTCTTCCTTGGATGATAATTGTTTATTTGCTTATCATAGAAAATCAAGGTTTTTATTTATCCATTAATATAAACGGCCTAAATTCAAGAGCTAAAAGGAAAAGGATTCTAACCAAACTAATAAAACAAAATGTTGATATAATTTGCATACAAGAAACACACATTAGGAAAAGTGAGGAGAAATTCCTAGATTGTCCGAAACTGGGAAAATTATTTACAGCACCAGCAGATAAAAAAAAAAAGAAAGGTATTGCAATCTATGTGAGAGATGACTTAAAAGCGGAGTTAATCTGGGCGGACCCTGTGGGAAGAACTCTGGTGGTACAAATCTCGATTAATGGCATTACACTCTTACTGGTAGTAATCTATGCCCCAAATGATGATCAAGGTAAATTTTTTAAACATCTCCATCAAAAAATAACAGAATTTGAAAATGGTAATATTATTCTGATTGGCGATTTTAACTCTATTGCTGACTACCGGAAGGATCATAGTAATAGGAGTAAGAATAAAAAAGGAAATAGAGAATTCTCTAAGCCATGTAAGGATATGTTGAATGAAATGAATCTGGTAGATATCTGGAGAAAATTAAATCCCAGCTTATAAAGAAAACTTATATAAAATGTTTTATAGATGGCACCTGCCCCCTTTGAGATTGGCGAAGATGCACCCCAACACGAGCCCCAAGTGTTGGAAGTGTCAATACACAGAAGGTACCTTCTTCCACATGTGGTGGTCATGCAAGGAAACCCAGAAGTACTGGCAAAAAATTAGGCACTGGCTAGAGGAAATAACCATGGAACAAATTGAGTACAAACCAGAGTCCTTTCTTCTAGGAATTTTTGATAAACAAATATCCAAAAAATCGAAATATATTACAATCCATATCTTAACTGCGGCCAGACTGGCATTTGCCCAGTGCTGGAAACTACCCTCTATCCCCACTGAACTTATGGTTATTCAGAAAATTTTACAATGCGCCGAAATGGACAAACTAACCCAAGCATTAAAAAATAAAGAATCTTCAACCTATTAGAGCAATTGGAATCCTTTGTACATTTGGCTTAATCAAAGATAGATCACCTCTAAGAAAACTAAGGCCGAGGCCTCCGAGGCAGAGATAAAGAAAAGCACTGCCGATGATAGTTTGGAAGAAGAAAAGACCTTACAGACAGTCACAAAAATAGGGTTTTATTATAATTGTTTTCTCTACTTTTGTTTTCCCCACTTTCCCCCCCACCCTTCCCTTCCCTTTCCCTCCTTCCTCTCTCAAGCTTTCCTCTCTTTCCCTCTTGGCCTATGCCAAGACCTGTTCGTCTTTTTGTTGTATATAATTTGTAGCTGTGTTGTTGTTTTTTAAAAAGTAAAACTAATAAAGTTTATTTAAAAAAAAAAAGAAAATCAAGGTTTTTTTTTCAAATGTAAGGAAAAATGGAATGTTAAAACAACATATTTTCAGATATCTATGCAAATTATTTATTAAAATGAATTTGAGGTAGCTTATTTACATATCTGAATAATAAAAATACATTTCTTTAAAGGATAGAAGATATTTTGATCCATCCACCCATCCATTCTCAAACATCAAGAATTCCCAGAATTAGAATTCCTTCTGGCTTTATTCAAAACCCTAATTTGTAAAAATCTTGCTAACTGACTAAATAATTTGATGTACTCTGCAGGAAGAAAAACATAGTTGTTACATTCCTTAAATATTCCCCACGCCTATATAATAAGAATCTTGGTTAAGCTCCCATGCATCTCTATCTATATAGCCTGCCCTCTTGTGGCCTCAGATACAATAGTTACCTATATATCATCACAGAATAATAATCCAAGTTTTTAAAACAAGAAAGTAATCACAAAATAGTATATAATGATAAGTTATTGTGTTGTTTTCATACTCTTTCTTTTCATTAAGAATTTCCTCCCTTTTTATTTAGAAAAATAAAGCACAAGAATGTTAATAATTATGCAATTCTATGCAAATTTAGGTAAGATTAAGTTTGCATGATTTTTAGAAGTGCATTTATAACTGTTTAGCAGTCTTTGCTAATATTGCTTCTACTGCTTTTATTTATTAAGATTTATATCTTATGCAGATCCAGAAATTTCAAATAACAACTCCTAAAATTACCACAAACATTTATGTACATTTGCTCATTAAACAACCAAGAGATTACCTCAATTTGTTTATTCTCTGCTCAGTATTGACCATTCACTAAATGTTTCATTCTCACGTTTTAGTTCTCTCATCTACTGCTTTTGTTGCATCCAACAACCAAGGTACAAATCCATACTCCATACAAAACAATCCAAGATCAGAAGAAATCTTATTTTGATCATAGATGGGCATATATATTGCAAGATTCAGAAAATCGAAGTACAACGCATTTCCTTTGCTGTTTCGTTTATTTCTTAAAGAGTCTTGAAGCAGTACACCGTGGTGGTGATTATTCTTATAGTCCTGTACTAAGAAAATCTGTGCATATAAAACATTCATATAACAAAAGCTTATGAATATGACAAGATAAATGCAAATGGATAAATACCCTGATAAAAACAGTGGTTGTGGCCTTCCTAAATGTTGTAGCAATTAATTGCATGCAAAGAGAAATGTTTAATAGAAATGTTTAATAGGTAGTCCTTGACTTAAAACAGTTCATTTAGTGATTGCTCAAAGCTGCAATGGCAGTGGAAAAAGTGATGTATGACTGTTTTTCACAGTTACCTGGACTTTAAGATGTTTGGCAACTGGTTCAATGTTTATGACAGTTGCTGTGTCCTAAGGTCATGTGATCACCTTTTGCGACCTTCTTGCAAACAAAGTCAATGCAGAATCCAGATTCACTTAACCACCTGGTTATTAACTTATCAACTGCAGTGATTCACTTAACAACTGTGGCAAGGAAGATTGTAAAATGGGACAAAACTCACTTAACAAATGTCTCACTTAGCAACAGAAATGCTGGGCTCAATTGTGAGCCTCAGTTGAGGACTCCTTGTACTGGATTGGGAGTGCTTATAACCTCTGCATATTTAGGAAGCCTGATCAGATCTGAATTTGGCATCATCACCCACTTCTTTTGCAGGTGCTGCTTCAAGGCAAAACCAAATTCTTTGTGGTTTACTGGTCACACTACAAAAAAGATGCTGAGACTTTGGAAAAAGTTCAGAAGAGCAATTAGGATGATCAAAGGTCTGGAGACTAAATTATATGAAGAATGGTTGCAGGATTTGGGTTTGGCTAGTCTAGAAAAAAGAAGTACTAGGGATGACATGATAGCAGTATACCAATATTTGCAGGGCTGCCACAAAGAAGAGGGAATCAACCTATTCTCCAAAGCAGAAACACTGGATGGAAACTAATCAAGGAGAGAAGTAAGCTGGATTTAAGGAGAAACTTTCTAAAATTGAGCACAATTAACGAGTGGATCAGCTTGCCTCTAGAGGTTGTGGGAGCTCCATCACGAGGTTTTTAAGAGACTGGGCAGCCAATTGCCTGAAATGGTATAGGATCTCCTGCTTAGGCAGGGGGCTGGACTAGAAGATCTCCAAGATCCCTTCCAGCTCTATTCTATTCCAAAGAACGGATTGGAAGGGAGAGCCTACGACCTCTCTCTTCCAATCGACTTATTTAGGAAGCCCGATCCGAGCTGAACTCGGCCACTTCTTCTACGGGCGCTGCTTCGAGGTAAAAACGAATCCGGCATCTAGGCGAAGGGACGCTGTTCGCTCCCCCTAACAATGGCGCTCGGGAGCCCCGGCTCGACTCCCTGGTCCTTCCAAACTGGGCGGAGAACACAGGGGGAGGGAGGGCGCCCTGATCTGGCCTTTGGTGGCGCGAGCCGAGGGCGTTTATACTTTTGCGTTTGGCACGACCATCTTCGCGGCGTTGGGCGACAAATGTTCCCTTCCAAGGGAGAAAAATTGCAGTCTTTTGACGTTAGGTTGATCTTCAGGTTAGAGTCCAGAAATATTTTCTTATTACTTTCCACTTTTGCCACGTCTACTGAAAAAGTTTCTTTCACGCACACTTTTACCACCTTTCTCTTGACGTTTTCCCTCAGTATTCTCCGCAGTTGTACTTGTCCGTTGTCACAACTACCGTAAGCCTTTTCCGCCCTTAATCAATATGGCGGCGTCCGGCTTTAAAATCCGGGTCGCGGCTTCTCTAGCCGGCCTCTTCTCTATGGTTCCGTGGAGGTCTGTGGGCAGGGAGTCCCGTGACGAGTGGCTTGGTACGCGATGACGGTGGCCGGCAGGAAAAACCGGAGCCTTCTTGGTTAAGGAGGGGTTGGGCAGTGAGAAAGAGGCCTGCGGTAGGAGCGGGCGCCGAAGGGAGTAGCTCTCCGGCTGCGGCTGGAATGTGAGGCGACAGAGGCAGGCAGGGAGCAAACGCTGGAGAATAGGCAGTCGGAGGGGGTAAGGCTGTTGGAAGAACTGGGATGTATTAAAGGAGGCGGGCGGGAGACTGGCGGAGGGAAGGCGAGGCGAGTCTGGCGGATTAACAGCTTGGGGAGGACGGGAGGCGAGCGTGTGGGACGCCGCCAAGCGATTGCAGGAGGCGGAGAGGGAGGTTTGGGCCCAGGCGCGGAGCGGAGGAATGTCTGGGGCGACCCAGCGGAACCAGAGCCAGCGCGGCTGCGAAGGTCGGGCGAGAGAAGTAAGGGAAAGCGATTCCTGGGTGCTGGAAGGGTCTCCGAGGCTGGGCCTGGAGCGAAAGGAGACAATGGGCTCGGCCGTCGGGCGGGCTAGGAAGGTGTTTAGACGGACGCGGCTCCCGGCTTAGGAGCCAAAACCTAAAACCAAAAGCGGACGGCTGAAAAGGGGAGAGCGCAAGCGAGGCAGGCGGTGTTGAAAGGCGGGGGTGGAGTGGGGAGAGCAAAGGGACGGCAGGGCTCTTCTGCTTTCGGAGGGGGAGGCTGTCTGCACCTGTGCCTCGAGGTGGAGCTCAGATCGGTGGGTCGGGCCCGCGGAAAGAAGTGGCGGTTGTTCAGCGGCCAACCCGGGGCTGAAATTCAAGTTGTGGGGTTGATGGAAAGGGCTGGCGAGGCGAGGTGGTGGTCGTGGAGGAGGAATGTGGTGGGGTTTTTTTTTTTGCCTCCCCCCGCCCCCCCGTGTGCGACCTGCCGTTTTGCGTTCCTGCCTGCTGCAAATCTGTAGGTGGAGAAGCCTCTGATCCAGGCTGCGCTGAGAGGCGGTGGCTGCTGACAACCGAAGGCAGGGGCTGGGCTTCAGAGGCACAGGGCAGAACGAGTAGTAGCAACAACAACAACGGAGGAGGAGCTGGCTACGAGAAGAAGCAGGAAATCCCAAATGCAGAGGCTGCCCATACCGTTGAGAGCGGAATTAGTTGCCTTTAAACGACATGTATAGCGTGAGGTACCTTGGTCAGGTTTCTCCATTCCCATCTCTTCGGTTGTGTTGGCCTATTAACTCTCAGGCCCAGCTGCCACCATGCAGATTGGAGGCCTCGTTCATTGTAATTCCAGGCTTGGCACTAAGGATAGGCAAGATTGGAGCTCAGTGGCAATTTAGGATTTAAGAAAAGACATTGCCACCAAGCACCTATACTGATCCCGACAAGTTAAAGAGCATGAAGATGGTCTGTATTGGCAAAGGGTTTATATGAACGCAGGGGCTGGAGGAGAGAAAACGGGGGGGGCATGCTTTCTTACTTGTAGGAAGATGTCTTTATATTGCAGTTCTTCATCAGCTTAATTTTCAGTTGTCCTAGCAAGCATATTAATTGTACTGGATTTCTGTAGCATTTATTGGTTTATTATTGCAGATGGCTTTGCTGATGAGTGCACTGTTTCATAATACATCCACCTATATTATATATAGACACACATGCCGAAGGAAACTGAGTGATAGTTTGTATCTCATCTTACAGAATGCTGAAAAAAGAATAAATTATTTTAGGGTTTTTGAATGTCAGTTCTTTAAAGAGAACAGTTTTTAACACCAACTCTTATCCTTTTAGAGATTTATAATTCTTTTTTAATTTTAGTGTAGTTCTTTAATCAGTTTTGCTTGGAATTCCTAGTAGTTTTTGAGCTCTTTTACATTTTGAAATGTATGCAGTTATAAATTAATAATTTGACATAATTATGCATATATAATATTACACATATTGCAATATGAATGTGTGCTGTATATATATTTAAAAAGTCATTTGTATGTAAAGTTCAAGTTCAAAAGTTCAGTATCCTATTAATTTCAAAATGTAACTTGAAAGGGACTTTGAAATAATCATTTTTATTCAGTACTTACACACATAACAAATTGTGTTTTGCAAAAAATAGTAATTACAATATATTTTAAATGCACCTCATGGTCTGCTTTATGAAAAATATTAATTAAAGATAACTTGGGGACTTCCAAAGTTGACAATTAGTTCTTTGTAGTTTTCAATAGGAAAAATGTTCTTTGTGTTTTGCCTTAATTTTAATTTATATTGCATTTTAATATTAGATATACAACATATTTAGCACTATCTTAAATATAAATACTTCAATGATACCTGGATTTCTACTAATTTTTGTCAAGGGCTCATAAAACATTTGTGATTGTATTTTAATGAATTTTGAAAATGTGTTAACTAACTGCACAACTAAATGTGTTACTATATCTTGAAAAATAAACATGCAACAAAATAGCTACTATATGTACAGTATGTTAGAAGAATTAGCTGGGGGGAGGGAACAATTATAACCTTATGTTTTGTTCCTATTCTAGTCCCTTTAGTTATTTTGGCAAGATTTTGGGGACATGATTGCCATTACCATTTTTTTCTAGGGGTGAGAGAATTGACTGGCTCAAAGTTACCCAGCTGATTTGGAGCCTAATACATGGCTAGAATTCACTATTTCCTGGCTTTTAATTGGGTGTTTTAACTATATTAACATGCAAATTGGTTTTATAAATATATTGATATTCTCTTGATTTAATAAGAGAAATGAACATGTGTTGATCATCTCTAAACTATAGTTTGCCAAGCAATAGCTTTGGAGTAAGGATCTGCATTGAGTATTTTGTGATAAACTTAAAAACATAGAAGCAATTTTCAAATTACAAGAATAATATGCACCGGTATTTCTAATAGTTTATAAACAGATAATTATTTTTCTCATATCTGAGTCAAAATCAGAAGTAAAGTTTGTTAATATGCTGACTTGCATGTAGAATTGAACTTTGTTATAATTTTTTGATGATGTAAATGTAGAATAATTCAATCTTAAATTGATTCTGTAACATCGCAAGTGATCCTTCACATAAGCATATAATTTATGAAACCATATTTCAGTGCATTAATCTGGAAAAAATCTTTTTGTGAATATATATAATGTAATGCAGCTTTGTTTCAGAATTCTTTTTCTCTGTATATAATTAATTTGATGGCTTATATCAGATAAGGTAATTGCCAACAGTTAAGCTATACACTGTAATTTTCAACATCCTAAAAAAAAGCTATTGGAGAAAATGGACCCAATGGATAATGTTGTGAAAAGATTATAATATCATAAATATGGTTCTAGTGTTCTCTCTTAAAATCTAAAATGAAATAAATGGATCAACAGCTGTTTTTTTTTTTTAAAGGGAAAATTGCAGGTATTTTAGCTATATTTCTACATCAAGCCTAATCATAAAATAATAATGACAAACAGGCTCCTTTTGAACACTTCATGAACCCTTAGATCAGGGGTTCCCAACCTGGGTGCGAGACGATATTCCAGGGGGTGCGAGAAAAGTCCAGGTAAATAATAGGATATTGGCTATATGTTGGCATTTTTATTTATTATGCAATGGATTAACTTTGTTTTCATTTTAGAGTTAACTATCGTTATTTAGTGGCCGTCACATACATAGCTGAAAAGATTCAATCCTACCATATATTTAACGCATTCAGTAGTTCCTAAAGTCTAAATTTCAGGGGGTGCGAGGTTCGAGTGAAATTTCTTTAGGGGTGCGGGGCAAAAAAAAGGTTGGGAACCACTGCCTTAGATGGATGAGGAGTAAACCTTTGATTTGGAAAATGGCTAAATATGTCATCCATAAGTACAACAGTACGACTGCCTTGCTTCACAAACTTCAGTACGTAACATGGTTCTTGTAGTGGTATTTAAAATAAGCTAAATGCAGTAGTGTTATTTTGCAATCTACAAAAATCACTTAGCACTCGTATTTATAGTACACTTTTCTTGGGCAATATAGTTATTGCACTTGCATTTCATTATTGAAGTCTTTTTTCCTCATTATCAGATTATTCGACTGTGTGAGGGACTACTTAAAATGACAAACATAAGAGATTGTTGCTTTGAAATGCCTGAAGTCATATAAATGTACATGTTAATTCTGATATGTTTTCAAATGGTTCTCCAGCAGCTGTATTCTTGCAATGAAATTGCTAGGATGTGCAACTTGTACATTTTTATTTGAGATGTGCTTTTGGTGTAGGTGGTTTGAATACTCTGAGGAGGCTTCAGGTGGAATTGTAAGATGGTCTGCCAGACAGAGAACACTAAATAATTTCTCTACAATGTGCTGGGGTCAGCAGATAATCTTACTGCTGGCACTTACAGGGTTTTCATTTGTCAGTTATGATTCTATCATAATAGACTACATATTAGGAAGAAATGATGCCTTTTAAAAAGATTCATAGACATTTTGAAGTGTCTTTATATTTGTGCCATCGTAACATATTAAATCTTTGAGCAAGTTGCCTTTTATGCTTGTACTTACTGCTGTATTTTTTAGAGATTTATTATCTTGGGAAGTAACTATCATTTTATCCTCCAGCAGAGTGGTGCAGCAATAGAATACAAGGGTACCTACCTCATAATAAACTCATTATTTAGTTATAGACTAGGAAGCCAAGACCAGTCAACTCCAAGTCTAGGTTTGAGTTTGAGAACTAGGAGCAGCTGGTGTTACCAAGCCCTACCTCCCAAGTTCTTGTTGGACACCAACAAAGGCTAAAAGGTTTAGCTGTGACTTTTTAATGCTTTTATATAGTTCATAGCAGTTTTAGTATTCTTGCTAAGATATAGCACCATCAAGGCTTTATAATATTCCAGTCTGCCTTTGCACCATAATTTTAGATAATGTAGTTATTAATACTCCATATTAGCTGACATTTTGCTCATATATGCATCCTGTCTTTACAATAAAACAGCAATAAGCAGGTTCCTGAATTTAGGGTGAAGTGTGTTAAGAGAAGAGACTTATTGCCACCTGCTGTAAACTCTTAATATTTTCCCCACAACCAATCAAGGTACAGTTTAAATACAATCTCTAATCCAAAATCATTTAATGAGTTTCCTTGTCTGAGTCTTGGTTTTCATGATCACTTTTCAGTATCAATTTGTTTGTGGGCCTGCACATAGCAGCAATCCATAAGGACACTTGTGGGGAAATTG